GTCTGGTGTGAAGTTCAGAGACATGATGTCAGGGGATGGCTTTTGAAGTGAAAATGGACACATTGTTTCACCTTTACAGTGAGTGGTGATTACAATGCCAGTGTCCAGATGGCAAGGGAGTGGTTAAAAGTGATTATCTTTGCCAATTTAGAATGATGACTTGTTTCATTTATGAGTAGTAGAGGCATTCACAAGAAATAATCCAAGTTGAGTTTAGCTGACATTCTTGAAGTAAGCTAGATTTAATTTTATGTGGCTTAAATGGTTTTGTCTGCTTAGATTTTCAACTCTGGTTTCCATTTTTTATATATATATATATATATATATATATATATATATATATATAAAACTTCATTAATTCCATCTTCATAAATTCTACCTACATTAATCAAGTCTCATAGTTGATGCTGTTCTTTTAAAAAATTTATTTATTTATTTGAGATAGAGAGATCATGTGAGCAGGGGGAGAGGCAGAAGGAGAGCCAGAGACTCTCAAGCAGACTCTGCATTGAGCAGGGAGCCTGACAAGGGGCTCAATCCCACAGCCATGAGGTCCTGACTTGAGCTGAAATCAAGAGTTAGCAGCTCAATGGACTGAGCCACCCAGGCACCTCTGATACTGTTCTTAAGATTGGAGCCATGGTGGACCAGTAGCATAAGGGACATGTGGTCAGGGGCAACCTTGGCTTACTTATACTTCTTTCCTCAGCAGCACGTTACATCTGGTGATGTTCCTTCCACTTTTCACCTCAATGTCTTTAGATACACTTTCAATGTTTCTGGAAGCCACTAACTAGAGTCTTAAAAAGAAAATAATGGCATTAGCAAAAGTCTTAAGGAAATACTTAAATGTAATAAATATTCTTTCCTTCAGTGTATCTCACAATTTCTTCTAAGTTTATGAAATATATTTTTTGGCCTGGTTTGACTTTATCTGGTGTCTCATATCCTCTGTTATTATTTACACATGTTTTAAGCCTCTTTATTTCCTAAAAATAAATTTAGAAAGTTATCTCATTGCTACTTCAGTCTCATTGTGTTAGTCATTTCACCTTTCTCTCAAGAGTCACGGAGAATGTGTGTCAAAGCTTGGCCTAGGAGAAACAAATCACAATGACAACTGCACTTCTAGAGTATTACCAAAATAAAGACAAAAAACAAAACAGGGAAGAAAGAAAAAGATAAAGAAAATCATAAAATGCTGAAAACTGCCAAATAGAGAAGTGAAGTCAGCAGCTATATGTACATCCTGGATTTGCCACTATTTGTATCAACTTGTATCAACTTGAGTAAGTTTCTAAGCAGATGAACCTAAGATTTCTCATCTTTCATTAGGACAATAAAAACTACTTTTTTTCTCCTTATGAAACAACCTTGTAAAATTTCTTGCACTATACTTGGCACTTCCAAGGTGCTTCAGTACAATTCAACACAAGCTGTTTGGTCAGGCATGGTGCGACCCTGGGAGGATAGAGGTGCAAAGACAGGCTTCTGTACTCAGCAAGTTCACCATCTTGTTGGGTTCCCATCACACGCTGGTCACCTCTTTCTTTCAAAGCATCACTTTGAAAAATGCCCTCCCAGTGGATCACAAGAAATGCCCATCAGTGATGTTCTCCAAATCTCATATTTGAAAGAGTCTTGATGTGAGGTTACTGGATGAAGGTCTATGGTTTGGAGAACAATCTATTAATAGAACCGCAAGCACAGATGGCCCAGAGTTCTTTTCAGGGACAGCGTTCTGAACAACATCCATGGCAGCTGGTTTCTGTGACACAGTCTTTACCAGTAGAAGAAGGAATCAGGTGGCCTGGCTCCATTTCAACTGGGTGGCACCTCATGGAATTGGACACCATTTAGCATAAATTTACTGATTTTTGAAACAGATTGTCTTGTGATTTTACTGCTCTTTTCCTTACGAAGAGAGGTTTATCTGCTATGAAGCTTAGCGAGACTACCTCCTTTCTAGCTCATCCTTCGCTTCTGGGTGATTGATCAATGCCATTTGTGTCTCAGGTAAAGATAAAAATTAAAACTAAAATTAAAGGTAAAATTCACTTAAAAAATAGCATGTGGTGTGAAGCCATGGAACAAACAAATATTCTAATGCCAGTGCCATTTAATTTAACACCCTTTTCAACACTGTTCTTTGTCTATTGTCACTCTATGAAAAAAATCTCAAACAGGGAGAAGGCTCAGTGATACCTGAAAATGATCTTTGTTGAGATGGAGCAAGAGAATAGACAAAAGGGATTTTTTTAAACTGTTTTAAGTATTAATGTCCCAAAGAACTATCATAAATGTTGTTACACATCAAACTTGGATGACTTTCTGTGCTGGAAATCTCTTATTGGCTGCAAAACCCACAGAACTTTCAACACATTTTCTCCACCATGAACTCACTGTGTCGGCCAACCAATTCACGAATTCTTTCCTTCTCAGCATTGACCCCTAGGGTCCAACGATAGCTCAGCCATGACCTTTGTTTGGTGGGGGTAGCTGTGATGGTTGTGGTGAAAGAAGAGAAGCTTGAGGAGTTTTTGTTTAGTCCTCCTCCAACCTGAATAATAGCAGAATGACCTAGAAGAGCTGCTATTAAAAGGCATATTTCTGGGCTCCATGCCAAGAGATTCTGATTTTCACAGGTTCAGTGTGGGACTCAAGAGCCCATATCATAAAACACTTTAAGTGTTTTTGGTCATGAACCCAGAATTTAAAGCTTACTAAATGAAATGCGCTTCTGGTTGTGCTTCTAGTAATTCGGCCTTGGTCTTTCTTACCTTGTCCCCCATTTCCAGGAACTAAATCCTGTCTATGTGTTCCCATGCCCAAGTCTGTGGGCTCTCCTTGGTGTTTTCCAGTTGATTTTCTCCCCATATGCTCACCTACCATAGGGTCCTAAATTCTAAATCCCAAATAACTTGGGCCATATAAAAGGGGACAGAATGCCTTGTTGCAGGCCTGTCTGGACCTGCATCTTGTCTGCTCCCGGGTTTCCTGACACTATGCTGTGCTCTGTTTGTCCGCCTGCCATAGAGGATGATCCTAACTTCAGCAACTCCTTGACACTACCACCTGTTGCCTGACATCAAGTTCCTGCATCAGGATTCTCAGATTTAGACATTCATATTCATCAGCTGCCGTGTACGTTAAATAGATTTTTGCACTCTTTTGCTTGCTAATAAATCAGAAATCCTGGGAATTGATCTTAGGAATCTAGATTTTTAGAAGCATCCAGATAATTCTGATGGACTTACTACTGAATCACACTTTAAGAAAAAGAACCTACAGAGATGCCTGTGTGACTCAATCGGTTAAGCGTATCAGATGACTTTGGCTAAGGTCATGGTTCCAGGGTCTTGGGATGGAGATCTGTGTCCAGCTCCTTGTTCAGCAAGGAGTCTGCTTCTCCCCCTGCCTGCTGCTCCCCCCACTTGTGCTCTCTCTCTCTCTCTTTCTGACAAATAAATAAAATCCTTAAAGAAAAAAAAAAAAAAAAGAACCTACAGCTAGGTTCATTTCCCTAAGTTTTGGTTCCTATTTAGTGGGTAGATCTTATTCAAGTCTTAACTAATCTAGGTATACTCCATCCTCCTGCTGTGAACATGCCAACCACTTGGCTGCATGATGAAACACACGGCATCAAATTAAATCCAAATGTCACCTCTTCCTGTCCTTCTCTGAACTTTCATTGCTCTCTATTTGTTTCCCTTTTTTGTTAGTCACCATATCCCATCTGTTTTATACATATATATCCATCTTAAGAAGCTGTGATGTCGGGACACCTGGGTGGCTCAGTTGGTTGTATGACTGCCTTCGGCTCAGGTCATGATTCTGGAGTCCTGGGATTGAGTCCGGCATGGGGCTACCAGCTCCACGGGGAGTCTGCTTCTCTCTCTGACCTTCTCCTCGCTCATGCTCTCTCTCACTGTCTCTCTCTCAAATAAATAAATAAAATCTTTAAAAAAAAAAAAAGAAGAAGAAGAAGCTGTGATGTCCTCCACTGCAGCCTCTCAATCTGGGTTGTCTCTCTTTCCAGTGCTCGGGACAGGGACACAGGGCCTGGCACCCCGCAGGTGATCGAAAAGCTTATGGATGAAAGTAAGAGAGTGCTAGACTTGGAACTGGAGGTATGAAAGACTTATGTGATTTCCAGAGGTTTATTCTCTTTTTAGAAGGTTGTGATTTGAAGGTATTTTAAGACTTTATTTGAAAATGCCAGTAAAAAGGAATATCTTGCCAAAAAGAATGATTGCTTGTAATGGTCAAAGAAGGAATATTGAGGGACACTTGGGTGGCTTAGTGGGTTAAAGCCTCTGCCTTCAGCTCGGGTCATGATCCGAGGGTCCTGGGATGGAGCTCCACATCGGGCTCTCTGCTCAACAGGGAGCCTGCTTCCTCCTCTCTCTCGCTCTGCCTGCCTCTCTGCCTACTTGTGATCTCTATCTGTCAATAAATAAATAAAATCTTTTTTTTAAAAAAAAAAGAAGGAATATTGAAGGAAGGACTATAACAATGACCACACTGTCTTTCCATCTGGTCACAGGTTTGGCAAGGAAATTGCCGATGGGTGGGATTTAGGAATTATTCAATAAATATGAGTTAAATGGCAACCAGACTGGGTTCTTAAAGACAGGGTGTGCAATACTTTAGTCTCTACAATAGTTGCCTGTTTTTAGGTCAAAACAAATGAAGTCAGCTAGCTTTAGAAATGGACTCATCAGAAAGAATTTTTTCAGAATTTCTGAAATACTTTCTTTAAAAAGAGTCCCCAATGTTGGACATTATTGTTCCACGTCAACACAAAGAGACCTAAGTTTCTTCAGTATATCCAATAAAACTAAGAAGCTAAAGACCGATTCACCTGATCATTTATCCTACAATGCAGTTGATAACCAGACTTGGACTCCGTTTTATATACGTCTTTTCCTTTCCACCAAGGGAATAGACTGAAAGAAATAAGTTTGTCTTAATTCTTCATGTATTTCTCTTTCTCCTAGCAACCACAAGAACAAAAACACTGCAAAATAAGGTGGGAAAAACTGAAGCCAAAGGCAACTATTTCCAAGGAAATTAGCCAGCATCAGAAAATTCCTGGTGAGTATTATAAGAAGCTGTCGTGCATTCACCAGCAGGAGCAGTGGAAGTGGAAGCTAATACCAGCAAGACCCCAGTGGAAGAGTTTATTAAAAGAAAAAAAACGCATTTGTGTACAAAGTTCTGGATATTAAGTATGTAGGTAAGCTTTCTTTCTTTTTTTTTTTTTTTTTAAGATTTTACCTATTTATTTGAGAGAGGGAGAGAACAGGAGCCATGGGGCTAGAACCCAGAACCCTGAGGTCATGATCTGAGCCAAAGGCAGGTGCTTAACCTGCTGAGCCACCCATGAATCCTCTCTGGGTAAGCTTTCAACATGATGAACTCAGTCAGGGCACTTATCCAGTCTTTCAGGCATTGTTTCAATCCCCTTTCCTCTACTAGTCAGGATCCAGGCAAGAAAGAAAAACCACACCAGTTAATATAACAAGGTTTAATTTGAAGAATTGTCCATTAGGGAACTGAACATTTAAATAGGTAGGACTAGTGATTCACAGAGAAGGTAATTGCAGGACCTAGGTTCACCTCTATGGATGGGATAAAAGAGAAAACACCGGGATTATTAAATTTAGAAGTTAACAGTAGAGATTGTGGAGTCAAGACCCAGACCTGTGAGGAAGAGGGCTCTCTTGCTGTAATTAGTGGCCTCAAAACTATGAGAGAGCACCCACAGAATGTGTGAGGCCTGAAGGTTACAACATGAATGAATGAAAATCTCTGCTCTTGAGATGCTTACTGGGTAATGCGGAAGATACTAATGTATGTGAAGGCAATTTACAAACTTCAAAGTATGGCAAAAAACTAAATTTCTATTGTGGTTATTACATTTCATATGTATATCTATCATGATCATTCAAATAAGATATTCTGGGGCAGCCTGGATTACATAGCTTTTGTCCCATTTCTAAAACCACATGTTAAATGTAGGACTTGATTTTTGGTTTGAAATATACAATAATCAACTACAATCCTACATAGGCCAATTAGCTTCTAAAGCTACCTGATGAGGACCTAGACTTATCAAAACTAACACCAACGTTTCACAGTCCCCACATTGCTGGTATTCAAGATCTGTTAATTCCAATCTAACTTTCCTGAGTTGAGTTCAGATGGTTCTAGTGACTACCTTAGCTTCTTGGGGGCTGGACCAGGTACAGTTGGGAGGAGAGGGAGAGTGTTGCTTTATCATACCTTTTGAGATATTTTAGGCACACTGAGCAAGGACTGAGTCATCAAATACAGGGTAGAAAGTACACAGTTCTACTGTTGGTGATTCTATATTTTGTTTCATGGGCAAGGCTTTATGGTTTATTACAAAAACTTTAAAGTCAGAAAAGAGTTCATCAAGAGTCCACAAGTTACATATACTTACAGGGAGAACATAATTGCATATTAATCTTTCTCAGCTCTGCTTGTACACAGGTGACAAAATCATCATTTGTGTTTCAGTTGATTATGAAAGAACATGAAACCTGAGTATGAAATTATGGGCACGGAGAATCCTTCCTCTTGATTTAAGATAACAGTCTTTTGCTTCACCATTTCATTCTATAAATGAAACAATTCCCATAAATGTTACATAAATACTCTGCATTTTGTCAACCAAGAAATATTCTGCAAATATCTGCAGCCAGGATCTCTCCCTGTAATTAGCTTCTCATTATGCAGCTCACCCTTCAATCCACTCAAACCGTCCTTTACACTAATTGCATAATATTTCATTATTAGCAGAATGTGCCATGGCACTCTCGCCATTTAACAAAAGCTGGATTCTTGATCCAGACCTTTTGTAAAATAAAGCACATTGCCTGGCACATAGCACTTATGAAGTTTGGGTTGATGTATCAACTAATGTTCTCATTAAAACACGCATGTGACATCTTATCTCACAGTGATGTATTACTCAATAATACGTCTCAGACATAGTACTTCTCTGGATTTCTCATTCTTAACATTTAAAACTATAAATAAATGACAAGGAAATTACTTGTGAAACTTAATGATATGACTCATCAGAAGTTATAAATTATAAAGATAGTCATATTTAAAGTATTTATGGTCCTTTTGCAATTATTTTCATCTTCCCAAGAGCAATTTTATGATTGATAAGAGTAATACTTAGTAATAAACCTTTTGGAGTCTTTCCTGTGTGACCAGTCATGTGTTAAAATCTTTACATGATTAACTTCACTTCACAAAACATATTTACGAGTAAGATCCTGTTATTATTCCCATTACAGATTAGAAAATCTAGGGTTTAGAGGTGCTAAGTAAATCACTAGAAGATACCCTGTTAGTACATGGGAGAGTTGAGATTCAAGGCTGGGTCTTTCTGGCCCTAAATGTTTTCAGAAGTAGATGTGAGTTGGAAAGGAAAGACATATGTTAAAACAATTGGAAAGTGGAGTCTAAAATTTGGAAAAGGAGTAACTTGAACAGTCTTGAATCAGAATTAGAAACAAAGACAAAAATTTCCAGTCCTGTGTAATGTGAGTAGTAGATACTGATAATGAATATTCAGTATCAGGAAGGGAAATTCTGCAAGATTTTGACTGCCTACCACCTGTCTGTAGGGGAACCAGGCCCTTCCAATCCTGTCTGGTGCTGGTGGGGCTGTCAACCACATTTCCCCCTTCATCTTACAGATGGATATAAAATGGCTTCTATTTGACCAAAGAACTCACTCCTTCTGGGGTGCCTGGGTGGCTCAGTCGGTTAAGTGTATGCCTTCAGCTCAGGTCATGAGCCCAGAGTCCTGGGACTGAGCCAAGTTTTGGCTCCCTGCTCAGTGGGGAGTCTACTTCTTCTCCCTCTGCCCCTCCCCCGGTCATGCTTTCTCTCTCTCTCTTTCTCTCAAATAAATAAAACCTTTTTAAAAAATTAATTAATTAGGGCACCTGGGTGGCTCAGATGGTTAAGCATCTGCCTTCGGCTCAGATCATGGTCCTGGTCCAGGGATCATGCCCTGCTTTGAGTTCCCTGCTCAGCAGAGAGCCTGCTCTCCTCTCCCTCTGCTGTTGCCCCTGCTTGTGCTCTCTCGCTCTCTGAGAAATAAATAAATGAAATTTTAAAAAGCAAAAAACAGAAAAAAAAAACCTCTCTCCTTCTGCCACCCATACACACAGGCGTGTGTACACACACACACACACACACACACACCAGAACCACAGAGATCCATTCAATGATCAGGCACCTGATTGATACCGGGTTATCAGTCTTGTGGTGTTGGTATTTGCATTTGCACTCCTGGATAGGAAGCCGTTTCTCTGGTTGTTGCTACTGAGACGCTGTGAATCTTAAGCGGTGGATGGCTATCTTGCTTCGCCCCATAGAATGAGATCATCACTTCAGAGGGAAGCAGAGATAAGGCAGAGCTGATAATATTTTTTCAGTTCCAGAACTCGTGCCAGAGCTACACTTGACTTTCCAGTCCTGTGAACCAACAAGTAGCTTTGAGCCATTTTGAGCTTTTTGGCCCATTCCTTGGAATAAAGTTTTCTAACAGCAATTTGTTCTCTAGAGTGGATATTAGAAAGGATAAACTTTAAATGATAAATTTCGGGGCGCCTGGGTGGCTCAGTGGGTTAAAGCCTCTGCCTTCAGCTCAGGTCATGTTCCCAGGGTGCTGGGAACATCGGGCTCTCTGCTCAGCAGGGAGCCTGCTTCCCCCTCTCTCTTCTGCCTGCCTCTCTGCCTACTTGTTGTGATCTCTGTCTGTCAAATAAATAAATAAATCTTTAAAAAAAATAAATGATAAATTTAGCTAAGTGCAGGTGTGGTCACAGTAGAGACAGTGTCTTTACTTTGAAGGTAGACATTCTTGTGATGCATAAGAAAAATGAGTTAATCAAATGTTTCTCCCAAACCCTGCTAGGTACTCTGCATAGAGGTGTTAATTCTATGACTGACTGGATGTCTTTTTAGATTTCTTTTTCTTTTTTTAAGATTTTATGTATTTATTTGACAGAGAGAGAGACAGTGATAGAGGGAATACAGGCAGGGGGAGTGGGAGAGGGAGAGCATGGTCCCTGCTGAGCAGGGAGCCTAAACCCAGGACCCTGGGATCATGACCTGAGCCAAAAGCAGATGCTTAAAGACTGAGTCATCCAGGTGCCCCTCTTTTTAGATTTCTTTAAGCTAGAATAATTAATCTACATATTTCCTTTGTGACATTGATATTTTTGAATTATCCAGCCAAGTTGTTCTGCATCATGTCCCACAATTAATATGTGCCCATACTTAGGATTTATCTGATTGTTTCCTCATGATTAGATTCTGTTTGAAATATTTTTCAGGCAAAAAATTTCACTCCATAGGTATCCTTTCCAATGCATCACATTAGGAAGCAAATAGTTCATTTGTCTGATTACTGTGGAGTTTGATCTCTAGGTCTTCTCTTATGAAAAGATGTCTTCCTACACTTTGCAGTTGGTAATGTTTGGGGCAATAATTGAAGACTTCAAGATTATCTTGTTAAACAAACACATCTTACCCAATGGTTTTAGCATCAGTTGGTAATTCTTGTCTGGATGAATTATTACATTGAGAATTCTAAAACAATGATTTTCTAATTCTGTAATTCCCTCTTGATCTATTAGCTGGTATTCTTTTGTAAAGAAGACAATTCTTTCTTTCCTTCCCTGCTTAAAAAATTAGGAACTCACATTATTTTTTTTTCTCATTTTTTAAATTTTTATTATTTTTTATTTTTTTATAAACATATAATGTATTTTTACCCCCAGGGTACAGGTCTGTGAATCCCCAGGTTTACATACTTCACAGCACTCACCATAGCACATACCCTCCCCAATGTCCATAACCCCACCCCCCTCTCCCAACCCCCCTCCCCCCAGCAACCCTCAGTTTGTTTTGTGAGATTAAGAGTCACTTATAGTTTGTCTCCCTCCAATCCCATCTTGTTTCATTTATTCTTTTCCTACCCCCAAACCCCCCATACTGCATCTCTACTTCCTCATATCAGGTAGAGGAACTCACATTATTTTTAAAACTTAATATCTTATAATAAATTCTTTTGATTAATTTTTAAATTCAA